TTTTGCGACCATTTCTACGACAGTCGTTAAGCGAGTCCAGCTTCCCCAATGAACGTTTTGCTGGAATTCACTTAACGACCACAGTAGTTACCAGAAAATTGGTTAAGCAAAGTGGTCATTAAACAAGTCACCAGTGACCAGACCTGATTTTGCGACCATTTCTACGACAGTCGTTAAGCGAGTCCAGCTTCCCCAATGAACGTTTTGCTGGAATTCACTTAACGACCATGTGATTTGCTTAATGACCATTGTAAAAAAGGTTGCAAATCGTGATCACATGACCGAGAGGAGTGGTGTGACAGTTTGTGATGGTTGTAAGCGCAAGTACAGGTTGCAAAGCACTTTTTCCAAGGCCATTGTAACTTTGAACCATCGTTAAATGAACGGTCGTTAAGTGAGGGCTACCTGTATTTCTAGCTCTCCCTTTCTCTGTATCTCTAGAAAGAATTTCCTACGAGGATCCATCTGGTTAGGGATCTGTTTTCCACAACCTTGACACGAGACTAGATGTGGGTCTTTTTCAACTTCTGTAAAGCAGTGTAGAGGACATTGCCATAAACCAGTCTCAGATGAGTCAGGGCTGGGGAAGGACAGAAGTATCCCGTCCCCCTTTGCTACTCCCACCTTCAGAACAATGTAACAGTCAGCTTCGTAGAACTTCCCATGGAAGGTGTCGTCCACCATTATGGGCACAAAATTCTCGATCTGCCAGACGGTGATCCCTGGGAGCTGGCCAACGTCTTCTGTGAAGAACTCTGAATAGTTGAGCTGAGGTTTCTCCAAACTCTGGTCCCAGCGGCGCGTCTTCAGATCTGTGTATTTTAGATCTCCATTCTCCTGAGGAGGAAAGGAAGGGAAGCTGGGGTTCCTTCAGCCCACATTTCAGCTTGCCGGTTCCCTCCACAGCCATTTGGGTCACTTGTACGTGAATCCATCCTTGTAGGCCCCTTACCTCCATCTTCTTATTTTTCTCCTGGGCCACATCTGACATGCCTTTCAACACCTGCTTAGCTTGATCATCTTGTGCCGAGTCTTTGCGCCTCCGCAAGCGCATTTTTCGCGCCATGGGGTCCTTTGGACTGCTTCCTGGGAACCACAGGAGGGGAGAGTTTTAGAAAGCAAGAGATGGAGAAGAGAATCTTGGATGAAGTAGTTCTAGCTCCCACCCAGAAGTAACAAGATCAGGAAGGTGGTCCTCAGAGGACATGTTTCAGGGAGAGAGGTGTGGAACGTGCCTCTAGTTTACAAAGCAGAAGGAAGTTCTCGATGATCAGGTTGAAAGCAACGGCCTGACCCCCTGCTGTGGCTATTTGCTGGGGGAGGCAAGAAAACAACACATCTAAACCCAAAGAGTGGGTCCTCAGCTCACCTCCTGCCGCCGCTGCCACCGTGGCCGGAGAAGCCCCAGCCAGTCGCAACTGATTCTGGAGGGAGAAGTCGATGTTGTACCACTCTGAAGTTCGGTCTACAGGCTTAGGGGGCATCACCAGGTTCGGGTTCTCCCGGACATCCAAGATCTGCAGGCCAGGGAAGAGGAACTCAGTCAGGAGCAGAGAACCCAAGAGGTTCTTCAGGGACAAAACTCAGGCTGCAATCTGAGAACTGACATATTTCAACCACAGCCCACTTTCCCTTGCTGTTCTTGAGCCCTCGACTCTGATCTAGAACACAAATTCGAGGCTTTCTCATGTCTCTTCTGCAAAGTTTTTTTCTCTTTAGCCCAGTGTTTAGCCAGCCAGCTGGGGAATTCTGGAGTTGAAGTCCACACAGCTTAAAGTCGCCAAGATTGAGAAACACTGCTTTAGCCGAATCACTCGCTTCTTCATGCCAGATGAAATATTAACCCACCACCCGTTTACTGCCCCCTCTTCCCTCCAGCTCTTCACACTACTGGTTGGGAAGAGAGATCTGACACTCTGCTTATGGCCCGGCCATTTCGGATCCTAGATGACCCAAGAACCAACTTCCTTTGCCACTAGAAACACCATTCCTGAAGGAGGAGAGCTGGACTTCTGAGCCACGAGCAAGACAGGTCAGAGAGGCAGAACAAGGGGCAGAAAAGGAAACCAGCTCCTGAACGGGCAGCAACAGACGTCCCAGTGCAGAACAAAAAGCCGCACTTCGTTACCATTAGTCCTCCCTCCAGACCATAAATACAGCAATCCGAACAAAACCCACGTGGCAGCCAACTGCTGAGGAGTCCCAAACACATTTTAAAAACTAAAAGCCACATTTCCCCCGCTTTTTAGGAACCTGGGCGTTACTCTTTGCTCTGCTTCTGCTGCAATGCAAAACGTGTTTTGATGTTATGCAGGATAAGTCGTATCTCTAAGCGTGCTGATTTGCAACCCTCGTCCGAGGAGAAGGAGTCAGTTCCTTTTTGCAGGATGACCCATCCTCCTCCTCCTCTTCCTCCTCTCTGCCAGATTCCTCTGCCCCCGAACTCTCACCTCGACGTCTGTCAGAAAATGCACAGCTTCCGGCAAGGTCACCAGGCGGTTCTTGTTCAAAACCAGTTTCTTGAGTTTCGCGCACCTGTGAGAGAGAAGCTTCAGAGGGCTGCCTTTCGACTAAGTCCAGCTTTTGACCCCGCAAAGGAAGTGAGAGACCCCCTGCTCTCGCCTCCTAAGCGTACGAGCCAGACTGCTGGAAATTTGCTGTACCCGGGAGCCAGAACCCTCCTGAAAAACCTCAGACCACCCTCCTATCCTGCCAGCCTGTTCTCGGCCAGAAGAACCTAAAAACCATCTACCTGGGGAGTCCAAGTGCAAACTGTCCCTTCCAAATAAACTGGACTGCCCACTGGATCTCCTTGGTGGAGGAGCAAAGTCTGACCTACCTGCACAGGCTTTCGGGAATCAGCTCCAGGTTGTTGTTGGCGGCCATAAATTCCTCCAGGTTAGCCAGCTTCCCAATGCCCGAGGGAATGCCGTCGAAGTCCAGCTTGTTGGAATTCAAGTAGAGCTTCTTCAGTTTGGTGAGTTTGCAGATGGCAGACTGGAGGGGGAAGAACGGTTCAGAAGTTAGTCAAGGGGAAGAAAAGAAAACTCAGCTCCCTCATTCGGAAGCTGCTTTCCCCCTAAATGGTGCCCAAATCTATCCACTGTGGCGGAAAAGATCATAGTTGTATTTATAAACTTAAAACAAAATGATCCATTAATCCCAAGGCAAAGGGGAGAAACATTTTACTGCTTGTTGTTCTACATGCCTCCTACATGGGGGGGGGGGGGGTTTTGGGTTGGGGGGTTTTTGGGGGGCGTTTTTTTTGGGGGGCAACTTTGTTTTGTTTTTTGT